ACCCTGAACCCTAGACCCTACACCTATACCCCAAACCCTAAACCCTAAACCCTTAACCCTTAACCCTTAACCCCTAAGCCCTAAACCCTAAACCCCAAGCCCTAAACCTTGCTAGACCAACTTCGAGGTGGCTACAGCTCGGCACCGCACTGGCACGTGAGCAGCTCGCCATCTGCGCGCACTTCGAAGGTCTCCGGATCCACACCTTACGCTTGGGGTCTAGGGTTTCGGGGTTAGGGCTCTAGGGTTTAGGGTTTTGGGTTTAGGGTTTAGGGTTTAGGGTTTCGGGTTTGGGGTTTGGGGTTTAGGGTTTGGGGTTTAGGGTTTAGTGATTCGGGCTTAGGGGCCTCCATGGCTAGGCGGGGGAGCGTGGGTGTTATCTGGGCCGCTGCTTTCTTGCAGAGAGGTCGGAAGAAGAGTCGTGCCAGCTGTCAGGTTACTTACTGTTGCTTAGTAGGGAACGAGGGAACTGGGGCCCTGTTTCTACCCTTTAAGGGATTAGACCGGCCTGCTGAGTACCATGCAAGGTCACTGCGCTCTGCCTAAACGTCCCTCTTGAGGTTAGGTTTAGGTTTTAGGGTTTAGGGTTTAGGGTTTAGGGTTTAGGGTTTAGGGTTTAGGTTTTAGGGTTTTAGGGTTTTAGGGTTTTAGGGTTTAGGGTTTAGGGTTTAGGGTTTGGGTTTAGGGTTTAGGGTGTAGGGTTTAGGGTGTAGGGTTTAGGGTGTAGGGTGAGTTGCTACGGGGCCCTTTTCCCTTCATTCCCATTCAGCACAGGTGTGCACTGCCTGCTGCTGGCCTCACATGGGTGTTTCATCTCAATTCAGAGCCTCTTTGGGCAACCCTAAACCCCGACATAGAAGCCTGTCCACTTTCCTGAATGAACTAAAACCCTTCGGGAATGTACAGAGGCTAGATCAGCCCAAAAGCCAAACAAGAAAGGGTTCTGACACATGCACCATGACGGCTTAGGGCTTAGGGCTCAGGGAAAGCCTGAACCCCAAACCCGATCCTGAACCTGAAAGCCAACTGGGGGTTTAGGGTTCACAGTTTTAGGTTTCTTTTAACTGGAAGCACACTGACGGTTAAGGGTTTAGGGTTTAGGGTTTAGGGTTTAGGGTTTAGGGTTTAGGGTTTAGGGTTTAGGGTTTAGGGTTTAGGGTTTAGGGTTTAGGGTTTAGAGGGTTTAGGGTTTAGGGTTAAGGGTTTAGGGTTTAGGGTTAAGGCTTTAGGGTTTGGGGTGTAGGGTTTAGGGTTTAGGGTTTAGGGTTCCTCCGTGGTGAGGGACTTGGGCTTACTAGCTGGCTTTTACCCTAAACCCTAAACCCTAAACCCTAAACCCTAAACTTCAGGCCCTAAACCCTAAACCCTAAACCCTAAACCCTAAACCCTAAACCTTCGAGGGTGAAGCCGGCGATCCTTTGCGGTTGGGATGTTCCCCCTTAGACTAACAGCCCTTTCAGAGGGATTAGAATAGGGGGTACTTTCATCCCTGTTAAGGACTGTTTGTATAAGAGGGAACATCCCAACTTCGCGCTTTTGTTCTGACTTTTGGCACCCGAAAAGGCAAGAGACTACCTACTTCCCTAAGGTTAGGGGTTCGTATCTTCGTAGCGTGACAACCATAAGGGAACCCAGAACCAAACAAGGGCAAACAAAGGCTACCACTGGGAAGGGCAAACAAAGGCTACCACTGGGATACCATCATATGATTTGCAGGAATGGTGCAGCGATTATGCCCTTCAAAGGACAGAAGTCTTCTGAGGTCCAAGCTGATCTGGGGCATGGCATCGTTCAGGACCATGTCCTGCATTCTCTGCTTGACGATCATCGCGCAGGCACGCGCAACCGACATCACCCACGTCCCCCAACATCATGGAAGGCAACAGTGAAGAACCCTAAACTCCGATCCCGAACTGCTCTAACTTACTGGTTCTTGGTAGGAAGTTGTGCAAATACATCACCGGGACGATAGTCTCGACAGACATACCGTCTAGTAGTCACTAGCATACACTTCGGCAACGGAGATGCCGAGTGGAATCGAGGGCTATAGTTTACATGGCCAGCGTGGCGCAGTCTACGGGGGAAAAGGGGTATAAGTTTGGCAACTCTTCTCATGGTCCGATTTCGAGCACTTGCAATCCTACTTATAACTGCCCATGAACCTCCAAGTAGGGATTGGGGTCCAGGGCATACGCAAGACTGTCCCCGACCCAAAGTAAGGCTTAAACGCGTGAGGTCATTAAAGCGGCACTTCTTCCCGAACCCTCCTCGGGATGCAACTCGGGAGTTTCGGCTTTTTTAGCAGTGCAAGGGCATGAATGACACCTGACACCTCCACAGTAAGGTTTGGTCATCTCTCCGTATGCAAGCCTCAGGTGACTTGCTTCAAGAACTTTCCGCATGAACGCAGGGCCTGAAGGCATTTTACTTACAGCTCTTAAGAAATAATAGAGAGAAGTAATTAGGGAGGTACTCTATATCCCCCCCATATGTAAAGTTCTTTCATGATTCTGTAGGGGCCTTCTACTAACTACCCAAATGGGAGTTTACGACAGTAAAGAACGCCAAAATGGCAAGAAGAAGGACCCCAAAAAGATAGTCCTAAGTTCGGAAACCCCCTGAATGAACCTGCAAGTAAACTTAACCCCAAGCACATAACTCTAAACCCTACACCCTACACCCTAAACCCTAAACCCTAAACCCTAAACCCTAAACCCTAAACCCTAAACCCTAAACCCTAGCAGGGGGGACGGGGGGAGTCCTTCTTCTGCACGCTGCGCGTGCCGCGCACGGGCTCCAGCGACTTCGTCAGGCCATAGTGCTGCACCGAGGCCTCCTCAGGGCTTTTTGGCTTTCCGGTGTTCGTAGGGAATTCGAGTGAATTGTTAGGGTTGAGGGTTTAGGGTTGAGGGTTTAGGGTTTAGGGTTTCGGGTTTCGGGTTTCGGGTTTCGGGTTAGGGTTTAGGGTTTAGGGCTTAGGGTTTCGGGTCCCCTAGGCAGGTATCTACAGGGGTACATGGTGCCTCGCTCTCCAAGTCCCTCAAGAGGGTCCAGCAGGCTACGGCGGCCACAACCAAGGCAAGCCTCCCCTGAACCATTAACCCTAAACCCCTGCGCCGCAGAACAGGTCAACCCCTGAGCCCCAAGCCCCAAGCCCCAAGCCCTAAACCCTAAACCCCAAACTAAGGGAGGGGTCGCTTCTGACCCCGAACGTTCGGCCGAGAGCCTTACAGCCCGAGCGCTTAAGTCCTGGAGCCAACGGACATCGGCCTTCCTTACGACAACAACAATACTCGGCTAAGGGATGGCCGTACCCAGACCACCTTTAGCGTAGCTAAAGTAAAATGCCTAGGGGCCTCCCAGGCAAGGGCCTCCCAAAAATTGAAAAAGGCAATTGCGTAAAAATAGAAGTTGTCCTGACCTTCAATTAAACAAGGGCCTCTACGGGCCCTGACACGCCGAAGGCCCGAAAAGGGCCAAAGCTGCCCCCAACCCCAGCTTCAACCCTAACACCGCAACTTTAAAGACATAAAAGCAAGCATCGGTGCACAAGAAAAAACATTCAATAAACCCTAAACCCTAATAGAGTATAGTTTGGGTTGACGGGCAACGCGAGCGCGCGGCCCAGGGTGTTTCACACCCGAGCGCGCGCCCTCCCCTGACACACCCTACACCCCAAACCCTAAACCCTAAGCCCTAACCCCTAAACCCTAAACCCTAAACCCTAAACCCCAAACCCACCCCGCCTCAGAGGCGGCCTTGGAGACGAAGCTCAGGCTGCTAGAGCCTGTTTCGATGGGTTTGTTGGGTTTAGGGTTTGGGGTTGGGGTTTGGGGTTGGGGGTTGGGGGTTGGGGGTTTGGGGTTGGGGTTTGCGGTTTGGGGTTTGGGGTTTGGGGTTTGGGGTTTGGGGTTTGGGGTTTGGGGTTTGGGGTTTGGGGTTTGGGGTTTGGGGTTTGGGGTTTAGGGTTTAGGGTTAGGGCTTGGGGTGTTTGGGCCTGTACTCTGTTTCGGGCTTGGAGTGCACGGAATCCGAGGTAGGTGTTGAGATTCCGGAGCGATGTTGTGCCCTTCTTTGCAAACCCTAAACACTACACCCTGCGCTTCGGCACCCAGGACCTTGAAACCCTCCCTAAAGCCCCAAAAAGCCCAAAACTCAACACCCCTTTACCCCTAAACCCTAAACCCTAAACCCTAAACCCCTAACCCCTAACCCCTAAACCCTAAACCCTAAACCCCGGCTTCTTGGCACCCTCTCGTCCCGCCTACTGCGCGCCCATAGCTTCCGAACATTGGCCGCATGATCACTGGTTGGGGCCTCCCCAAAGCTGTTGGGTTTAGGGTCTAGGGTTTAGGGTTTAGGGTATAGGGTTTAGGGTTTAGGGTCTAGGGTATGCGGGTTTACGAAAATACGGGACGCCTCATATACCAAATAGTAGGATCCCCTTATAATGGGTACCCCGAATTTCGGAAACTTTCATGTGGTTGCTACTTGAAGGTTCATGGTACTTAGTAACCAATCTAGAACTGTGCTTATAACCCACTTACAAGCCCCTGAAGTGCCCTAATATGGTTATAGGTACAATTATAAGGGGGGGGGGGGGGGGGCGCGTTTTATTTTTGCTGCGGGTGCGGGGGCGCGTTCTTTTCTGGCTGCGGGTGCGGAGGCGACACGCGCCAGGTCACTCACTCACCGGGGCGGCCCCCGAAAAAAGCACGCACAGCAAAAAAGCACCCGCAACAAAAAAAAAGCACGGGTTCCCGTGCATACAGCTCCAAGGACTCCTGATGCATGCTAAACCCAGCTCGGAAACATATAGACTCTAGGACCTTGGAACTTAAGAAGTACTGTCTTTCTGTCCAAGTCTAGGGTTTCGGGTTTAGCGTTTAGGGTTTGGTGTTTAGGGTTTTGGGTTTAGGGTTTAGGGTTTGGGATTTAGGGCCCGCCCTTCCCCTCCGGGCGTCGGGATGGACGCGTTGGGGTCGCCCATTTGTGCCCAGGCGATGGTGCCGCCCTTAATGACCTCAGGTCACACGGGCTTTTGAGGTATTCAAACGAGCACGCTTTCGAGGGTGGGAACTTGAGAGAATGCAGGGGTTGCCGGTAAACCCTAAACCCCAAACCCCAAACCCTAAACCCCAATCCCTAAACCCTAAACCCCTAAAGCCCAGGGTACAGCCTGAGAGGTCATAGGGTAGATCTTTTGAAAGAAAGCACGGCGAACCCTTAGGGTTTCGGGTTAGGGTTTAGGGTTTAGGGTTTAGGGTTTAGGGTTTAGGGTTTGGGGTTTAGGGTCTAGGGTCTAGGGTCTAGGGTCTAGGGTTTAGGGTTTAGGGTTTAGGGTTTAGGGTTTAGGGTTTAGGGTTTAGGGTTTAGGGTTTAGGGTTTAGGGTTTAGGGTTTAGGGTTTAGGGTTTAGGGTTTAGGGTTTAGGGTTTACCCAAACCTCCAAACCCCTGCGCAGTCAACGTGGAATGATCTGAGATGCTTTCTCGTCCCCAAGTTGATTCTTCGAGACTGTCTCACGGACCGCATGCATAAGCCCTGAGCCCTAGTCCCAGAAACCCTAGACCCTAAACCCTCAAGCCCCCAAAACCCTTCAACCCGTGCATTAAATAAAAATCAAGGCGCCATCTCAGGCTTGGATCCGAAAAAGGCGGGCTGCCACAGGCAGAGGTCTGCCAGCTTGCCAACCTGCGCTTGACTGGGAGGTTCATGGGACTTACTAACTACTTATAACTGGGCTTATAACCCTACTTGTAGTTGGGATAACCCCCTATAAGTCCGCTTAAGGGGATTACAAGTAGGGCTAGAAGCCCAGTTATAAGTAGTTGGAGCACGGCGCGTACTCGGCCGTGGGTTAAAGTCATGTCTCTGAAGAGCCACGGCCGTGCACGCGCCGTGGACCTAGTAGTTACTAAGTCCCATCATGAACCTCCAAGTAGTTTAGGGTTTAGGGTTTAGGGCTTAGGGCTTAGGGCTTAGGGCTTAGGGTTTAGGGTTTAGGGTTTAGGGTTTCGGGTTTGGGGTTTAGGGTTTAGGGATTTTCGGGTCTTCGCCTTTTTGAGGGGAACTGACTGGGGCCAGGCGGGGTTGAGGCGCTGCTCAGGCGAGGCTTGGGCAGGGCTTAGGTGGGGTTTGGGGGTTTGGGGGTTTGGGGGGTTTGGGGGGTTTGGGGGTTTGGGGGTTTGGGGGGTTTGGGGGTTTGGGGGTTTGGGGGTTTGGGAGTTTAGGGTTTAGGTGGGTAGGCCGGCCAAGGCGTGCCCGATGCCGTCCCAAATACCCCTTGAAGGCTTTACGGCATCTACCGTTCTGAGCCTCGACGCTGCCGATGATGTGCGACATGCCGTGCGCCAGGGCAGGGTTGATGGTGTACTTGGCGATGTACCTTGGGCTCCCTAAAAAAGTTGAGGGTTTGGGGTTTACGGGTGTAAGGTACAAGGGCTTCTTCTCCTTCAACAAAAACATCTTCGAAATGGGGGGTTTGGAGTAAGGGAGTTCGGAGCTCTTCGAGGGTTTCGGCTTGGGACGTCTAGTGTCTGGTACATCACATCATGGCGTGAACCATGGTGGCAATAAAGAACTAAACAACAAACAATCGTCATAGCCACGGTGAGGGCGAATCATTTTTGCTACTAGAGAAAAACCCCATGAGCGTAGTAGCCCAACCACCATATGATAACGAGGGCGCCCTTGTGTTGGGTTGGTCAAGTAAGGAAACCCAGAACCCGAAAACAAGGTAAAGGGCACCACTGGGCTACAAAATTAGTGATAATTAGTGAAGGCCCCTGGCTAACCCCTAAAGCTTACACCTTAGAAAGGCCGGTGGCCTCTTTATCTGTTGCCCTTATACCTCAAAATAGCCCCTAGATATCCCAACAAGAATCCCGAGCACATGCCCCCATAAAACAGAAACCCTACTGAAAGAGACCATCAACCCATACAACCTAAACCCTAAACCCTAAACCCTAAACCCTAAACCCTAAACCTTCAATTTGCGCCCGGGGCACCGCTTGATGCGGGTGTTGTCGTTTCCGCTGCCTTCATCCTCAGACAGCGGGCCGCGCTGCAGCTTCATCCTGGCCACACCCGACTCCCAGGGTTTAGGGTTTAGGGTTTAGGGTTGAGGGTTGAGGGTTGAGGGTTTAGGGTTTAGGGTTTAGGAATTAGGGTAGTTACATGGTCCCTTCATATGGGCACCGAAAAGGGGGGCCCCTTATATCTAACCCTCCTTTACCCGCATAAAGACGGTAGGGGAAAATATGTAGGGACCGTGAAACTACCCTGACTGAGACCGACGCCAATACCGCTTGATTAGGGTTTAGGGTGTGGGGTGTAGGGTTTTTAGGGTTTAGAGGCTCATAAAACGGCGAAGAACTCGAGACTCCACTTTTTGGGGTTTGGGGTTTGCGGGTTTTGAGGTTTAGGGTTTAGGGTTTTGGGTTTCAAGTTTAACCCCAATATGATTTCAAGGAAGGTTCCTTATTTAAGGGAGGCAAAAAAGTTTGGAGTCTCGGGCCAAACATGCGCGGCTAACTTCGACGCCGTCTGCCAGGTGCGGCAGATCACCTCGCCGACACGTCCCATGGCCTGGCTGGGCCATCTTAGGAAACCCTAAACCCTAACCCTAAACCCCAGGGGGAGGTTTTAAGCTTGGGGTTCTAGGCAGGATTTGGGGCTCAGGGTAGGGTCGACCGCAAGCTACCCTAAAGCCCCCAAGCCTTCAAGCCTTCAACCCCCCCTAAGCCCCCTAAACCCTGTCCCCCTAGGAGCATAGGAACTGAACCTTTTGGGGTTTAGGTTTAGGGTTTAGGGCTTAGGGCTTGGGGCTTAGGGCTTCTGGCGTAGGGCTTGGGCTGAGGGCTGAGAGCTTAGGGCTTGGGGCTTAGGGCTTAGGGCTTAGGGCTTCGGGCTTAGGGCTTAGGGCTTAGGGCTTAGGGGCTCCGCTCCAGGCTTGAGGGCTTGGGAGCTTTGTTCCCAACTCCACGTGGGGAAGAAGCCACCTTTGGATTAGGGTTTAGGGTTTAGGGTTTCGGGTTTCGGGTTTAGGGTTTAGGGGTTTGGGTCTATCAAAGGCTTCAGGCTTCGGGGCTGTGGGGGGTCTGGGGGTGTTCAGTGCAGGGCTTAGGGTTCGGCGTACTTCTCAGCCCCTGCCCTGACAAAAAAACCCAAAACACCAGAGGTCAAGGGACCAAAAGGGAGCATCCTTATAAGGGACCTTAGAGATTTGGGCGTTAGGGGGAATAGAGGCTATATAAGGGTTATATATCCACATATACAAAAACATATACATACTGTATACATGTACAAAAACGTGTATGTATATATATATATATGAAGTGTAATAGGGGTTCTATAGGGGAATATGATTAACGGTCCCTTCTAAGGGTCCTTCCTTACACCCCTTAAAGAGGAGCAGTGCTTCATTGCATCTGCGAGGCAGAGGTCACACAAAGGGTTCAGGGTTTAGGGTTTAGGGTTTAAGGTTAGGGCAAAGGTTGAGTGTACCCTGAACCCAAAGAGCCCAATGCCCTCTAAATAATGAATATAACTTAAAACATGCAGAATCATGGCCCCCCTGCTTGGTTTAGGGCGTATTCCTTAAGAAAGGGGCGTTGGGCTCCTTGGGAATACCTACAACTCGGTTTAGGGTTTGGGGGTTCAGGGGATTTTCAAGCTTAGGGCACGAGCGGCTCGCTTCCGCTTTGGGAAGCAAAAGATGAAGCTCGACTGGCCCTAAACCCTAAACCCTAAACCCTAAACCCTAAACCCCAAACCCTAAACCCTAAACCCTGGCTACACCTCCGAAGCATCGGCCTGCGGATAGCTTGAAGAAAGTTCCCAAAGAGCCCTCAATAACCTCCAGTACTTTGGGATGACAAAGGGGTTATAAGTAGGGCCATAAGAATGGTAGCTATATTTCAAAACCTATTTAGGTACTGATAGCCCTCCTTATACCCTCCAAATATAGCTAAGCGGGATCTTACTAATCAAAACATCGCAGGGCCGCTCTGCTTCCGAGTACAAACAATTTTGTCGCTGTGGCCGGTACAGCCGGCATCGGTGCTGCCGAAGCAGATGTAGGGTTTAGGGCTTAGGGTTGAGGGTTTAGGGATCGTTTATATAGGGGCTTTCAGGTGTTTAGTAGGCTTTGGATTTTCGTGTTCTTACAGGAGACAGGCTCTACGGTTTTTGAAGGTTTTGGGGTTTAAGGTTAGGGTTTGGGTGTAGAAAGGCCCCATAGCAAGCCGCCGTAAAACTATTGATTTGGAAATGTGATGGTGACCTACTGCTTTATTGCAGCGTTTAGGGTTTAGGGTTAAGGGTCTAGGGTTTAGGGTTTAGGGTCTAGGGTTTAGGGTTCGGGGTTTCGGGACAGCACCGAAGCCCTTGCCCCACCCCCCCCCCCCAATCAGAGCGGCGGCACAGGGCCTGGAAGGGGAAGCAAGGAAGAGGAAGAGGTGAGGGTCGTGGTTTTTCCCTGGACCCAAAACCCCCAAACCCTAAACCCCGAAACCCTAATTAAAGCCGTAAAAGGTCAACTATCTGTTCAATTCTCTCCTTTACATTGTTTACATCACACCTCATTTATAAATTCGATGCGCTACTTTATATTTGTTTAACATAACATTCTCTTTTGTAAATTCCATGCGCTACATCAGATGATCCTGGAAGTGCTGCAAGGAAAGCTTCTTGGCTCTCAGGGCTGTCGGGGTGGATTCAACAAAAGCCAGTATCTGGGTTCTGCTGTGTAAACTAGGCACTAGGGTTTCAGGGTTGAGGGTTGTAGGGGTGGATTCAACAAAAGCTAGTCTCTAGGTTCTCCTGTGCAAACTCCGAGAAGAAAAAGGGCAACCAAACCATGCCCCCCCCCCTCAAAAAAAAAAACGAAAGGAATCAAAAGCGACAGAGTCCTAGATTCTTGGCACAAGGGTTTTAGGGCTTAGGGTCTTAGGTTCTACGCATTTGCACAGGGCAGCACATCCCATACCAGCCAACGGCGCCAGGCACCGGAGAATGCTCAAAACCCTGCACTTAGAATATAAACCCTAAACCCTTAACCCTTAACCCGAAACCCTAAACCCTAAACCCTAAACCCTGAATCCTAGAATATACTTGTTACTTGTCTGCACCTGGGAGTGCCCGTGCCCACAAAGGTTCGAACAACTCTTAGTCAAGCTTTTGTCGCGGCCACATTTCGTGTAGGGGAAGGGGGGTGCCCGGATCCTACACCTGAACTGCGAGACAGTGAACCTTAAACCGTGCCTGCTTGCGCCAGCTCAACCCCTGCCCTGGGCACAGCAGAAGGTGGGGAGGATTTGGGGGTAGAGGGTTTAGGGATTAGGGTTTAGGGTTCAGGGACCTCAACCAACTTGGGTTTTTTTCGAAAATTGGGGTACCTTATTGTGGTCCTTACTATAAGGGAAACCTGCTATTTGGGAAACGATAATAGGGACCTCTTATTTCGTAAACCCCCACTTGGTAGCCCAGTAGCCATCTTATATCTTATAATAAGGGTGCCCTGTTGGGGTTGGCTACTTTAGAAGGGAAGCCAGAACCCAAAAAAAGGGGAAAGGCTACCACTGGGCTACCAAGCCAATGAGGAAACTGCATGCTTGTCTCCTTGCATTCGTGGACCTGCTGGCGTTCAAGGAGATTAGGCTTGAGGATTTGCGGGGCCGCGGAGGAAATCCGGTCAAGCAAGCGAGGAATTGCTTGCAGAATACGATCCCCGTAGTCCGGAGGCCTGCTGAAGGCTTCAACCCTAAACCCTAAACCCTAAACCCTAAACCCTAAACCCTAAACCCTAAACCCCAAACCAAAGGCCAAGTCGCTGCTCGAGTTGCTGGTAGCCGGGGGACTCCTTGCGCGGCTCTCAAGGTTGAGCCCTTGTGCTGCTAGGGGGCACAGAAAGATCACGCGCAAAAGGTCCCGAAAAGCTGGGTTCAGGGTTTAGGGTTTTGGGTTTTGGGCTTTGGGTTTAGGGTTTAGGGTTTAGGGTTTAGGGTTTAGGGTTTAGGGTTAGGGGCTCTTGCATATAAACCCTTTGGGCAACTCGGAACTCGCCGCCTCTTCCGTGATCCGCTTCAGCCAGCTGACGAGGCGGCACTCGACCTTGGCAGGCTTTAGGGTTTAGGGTTTAGGGTTTAGGGTTTAGGGTTTAGGGTTTAGGGTTTAGGGTTTAGGGCTTCGGGTTTAGGGGCTCGGAAATCTGTGGAGGGCGCTGTTGAGCGAATATCAAAGGCAGTAGCCATAAAAATGCAACTCAATAACTTACGAAATTTTAGCGTGGCTGGCTTGGGGACTTGAGTTTAGGCTTTCGGGTGGTACTTGGAGGTTCATGGGTAGGTATAAGTAGGGTCACAAGTTCCCTAAACAGGGATATTAGTCGCCATACTTTAAACCCTAAACCCTAAACCCTAAACCCTAAACCCTAAACCCTACTTAAAGCTACCCATGAACCTTCAAGGTGGGTTTCAGGGCTGTGGGGCTTTGGGAGGGTGATTTGGACGGCTTGGTGCTTCGGGTTCACTTGGAGGTTCATGGGTACTTCTAAGTAGGGTTTAGGGTTTACGCGGTTTAGGGTTTAGGGTTTAGGGTTTAGGGTTGAGGGTTTAGGGTTTAGGGTTTTAGGGTTTAGGGTTTAGGGCTTTAGGGTTTAGGGTTTAGGGTTTTGGGTTTAGGGTCTAGGGTTTAGGCTTTAGGGTTGGGAGTGAGGGGAGGAACTCCCACCCTCTCCGGGGTCAAGGCCCCACGTTGTCACCCGTGCACCCCCCACGCACCCTGGAGTGGCGTGTACATGAGATCTTGTGCCGTTGCAAGACGCCCTGAACCTGACTAACCCAGAGACTCCAATACCCCTTAACTAAGGAGTATTCCTCAAAATTGTAATAAGGTTCCTTATATGGTTTAAGGAATGTTCCTTAATTAAGGGGTATTGGAGTAATACCTTGGACTGCATGGGAGCTTGCCTCGGTAGGACATTGTGGAATGACGCCGCTCCCTACTTGGATGTTCATGGGTAGCTAGAAGTAGGGATCGAAGTATGGCAACAAGCCTGAAAGCGTTCTTCAGGGTACTTATACCCGTACTTGTCGCTACCCACGAACCTCCACGTAGACCCTAAACCCTCTAAAATGTTTGCAAGAATCGGGGTACCGGGGGAACCGTCGACTTTCTGTCGGGCTTCGGGTCTTGGGGGTAGTTGGGGGTTTTTGGTTTGCGGAACTGGGGTTTGGGCGCGCGGGGGGGGGGGGGGGGGGCGCTTTGAGGAGCTTAGGGAAACAGGGTTTGGGGGGGTGAAGGGGGCTCAGGGCTCAGGGGGTGTGGGGTGGCGGTTGTGTGTGCATTCTGCGGGCCATGTGCTCTGGCATGTCGGGCTTAAAGGTACCCCGGCAACCCTAAACCCTAAACCCTAAAGCCTAAACCCTAAAGCCTAAACCCTAAACCCTAACCCTAAACCCTAAACCCCTAAACCGACCCGTACCGCAACTTGCCCATGTCGACGGGTCGATCTCACGATGCAAGCCTCGCGGCCAACTCCATGTAGAGCCCGGCAAAGAGCCACAGAAAAAAGACGAAAACGACGAAGCCACACCTCTACCCAAGGGCTGTATGGGCTCAGGGTTTAGGGTTTAAGGTGAAAGGGTTAAGGGTTCAAGGGTAACTTGAAGGTTCATGGTACTTAATAACCACTTACAACTGGGCTTTTAACCCTACTTATAATGGGATAACCCCGAAAAGGCCCTTTAGGGGTATTACAAGTAGGGTTATAAGTACAGTTACAAGTGGTTAATAAGTACCATGAACCTTCAAGTAGGGTTTAGGTTTTCAGGGGTTTAAGGTTTAGGGTTAGGGCGTTATTGTCCTCGGACTCCTTGCCATCTGTTCTTAGAGATTGCATCGCGTATGGTTGCGCTTTTGTTGCTGTGTGGCTGAGATTGAGAAGAACATATAAAGTGTAATGTACTAAATAGTAAATACATATATGTATATATATATATATATGCATATACACGCACATATATATATACATATGCACACATACATATGGGCCACCAAATCTGCGTTCCACGAGCCTTTGGGGTTCAGGATTTAAGGTGCCCAATACACCCCAAACCCCTCAATCAAGGAAGATCCTCCCCAAAGCCTGACCCCGAAACCGTAGACACTAGACCCTAGACCCTAAACCCTAAACCCTAAACCCCAAACCCTAAACCCTAAACCTAAGCACCCCGACGCCGCAAGACTTGCTTGGATCTATGGGTGCTGTATCCCCTGAGCCCAACACGCTCATACTTAAGTTACTAAGGAATGGGAACTCGCAAGGGTTCTAGGATTTAGGGCTTAGGGCTTAGGGTTTAGGATTTAGTGTTTAGGGTTTAGGGCTAACCTTGACCGAAAACTCCGCAGCCGACCTCCCAGTGCCGCCAAAGGCACGAGTTATCGTTGTACGCGCCAGTCGGATTGCGCATGCCTTGGGGCATCAGGTCCAACAGGGTTGCGAGTGTAGTTGCGGGTGTAGGAGTTAAGGCGGTTGGGGGTGGGTTTAGGGTTTTGGGTGCAGCAGGGAAAAGGCTTAGGGCTTGGGGTTTAGGGTTTAGGGTTTAGGGTTTAGGGTTTAGGGTTTAGGGTTTCCACGGCTTTTGGGGCTCAGGGTCATAGGACTGAGGCCGTCTGGCGTAGGAACGCAGATTCTCACCCTAACACCTGAAGGTTGTTGGGCTTTAGGGTTCAGGGTTCAGGACTTAGGGTTTAGGGCCTAGGGTTTAGGGTTTAGGGTTTAGGGTTCAGGGTTTAGGGTTTAGGGTTTAGGGTCTAGGGGTTGGGGCTACAATCTAATCTCAAGCCTTAAGGCTCAGGGTTTAGGGTTTGGGGTTGAGGGTTGGGGGCTTAGGGTTTGGGGTTTAGGGTTCAGGGTTCCCTAAACCCTAAACCCTAAACCCTAAACCCGAAACCCTAAACCCTAAACCCTGAGGGTTTTGGGTTGAGGGATGAGGGTTGAGGGTTGAGGGCTTGGGGGTTTTTACGAAGTCCCCAGTTGCTAAACGAGCCGGAGATGTCGCCGACTGCCACGAAAACCTCGTGAACCGGGTACTGGAACAGGTACACCTGAAGAGCTTCCTAGGATTAGGGTTTAGGGTTTAGGGTTTCGGGTTTAGGGTTTAGGGTTTAGGGTCTAGGGTTTAGGGTGTAAGGTTTAGGGTTTAGGGCTTAGGGCTTAGGGTTTAGGGAGGATGGCCCCTTTAGACCCTTTGGAGATAATCCTAAATATAGTCCTCTTAAACCCAGTAAGGGAAAATAAACTATCCCAAGGGCCTATCTGGTTATTTTTTGGCCTCTATGGACCCTAAAACCTGTGTTTACTGTTTAGTGTGTTTAGTGTCTAGGGTTTAGGGTTCAAACCCGCAGACCCTAAAAACCCTTATGAATGGAGTTCTCTAGGCATCTAGGCATGGCAAGTAGCAGGTTAACTCTGCTGTTCCTGAATCCCCATCGAAAAACTTACAAAGCACCTCCCCGCAACCAGCCCTAGAGCGGCTCTCCTCAATCCTCTTTTCCGAGCATACCCTTAGAACCCTAAACCCTGGACCCTAAACCGTGTTAGGGAAACAGCCTACACGAACAGAGGGGCCTTTACTGCAAGTTGACGCTTTGCTGCGCGTTGAAGCATGGATTGAGTCTGGGCTATCTGGGCAGCACACTATCAATGTAACCTACACCAAAGGGTGGTGAGGTTCCTGAGTAGGGGTACCCTGGTCTAAAGGTTCCTATAATAAGGACAAGAGTATTTGTGGCGTATATTGGGGGTGCTCCCCATCTTGGGAAATGCCATATAGGGATCCTCCTTCCTTGTTCACCTCAAAAAAGATTTGGGGGTTTACGGAAATAGGGGGCCCCTAATAATATGGACCCCAAATATCCTCAGTAAGGGGTGTTGGGCTCGCTAGGCATGCTGTTGCTTCCAGGTTTAGGGTTTGGGGTTTAGGTTTAGGGCTTAGGGTTTAGGGCTTAGGGCTTCGGGTTAAGGAAATACACTTCAATCATACTACGGACCATTAAACCAAGGGAGTCATACGCCGACCCCCTCAGGTACCCCCAAAAGAGGTTCAATCTGCTGGCAATATGGTCCTTATGTTCCTTGACAGGATCTTCAAAGAGGGCCCCCAAACCCGAGGGTGCAACCTGAGGGCTTCGAGGTAGAGTCCCAGGATTGTAAAGGGTTTAGGGCTCCCTAAACCCTAAACCCTAAGCCCTAAACCCGAAGCCCTAAACCCTAAACCCTAAACCCTAAACCCTAAACCCTAAACCCTAAACCCTAAACCCTAAACCCTAGACCCTCACCCCTCCTTAAAGGGCAGGCCTCGAAGCTGTACGCGCCCAGCGACAGGAGCGCCGGGTGTTGCAGCAGGGCGACCGAGCCTGCTTCAGGGCTTTCAGCAGCTCTCTCAAGGCCTAGGCTGCCTAGGGTTTGGGGTTTGGGGTTTGGGGTTTGGGGTTTAGGGTTTAGGGTTCAGGGTTCAGGGTTCAGGGTTTATTTAGGGTTTATTTAGGGTTTATTTAGGGTTTATTTAGGGTTTATTTAGGGTTTAGGGTTTGGGGCTTAGGGTTTCGGAGGGTTTCGGGTTTAGGGTTTAATTGTTAGGGTTTGGGGGAGTGAAGGCGTCCCGGGCGTGAAATGTGGAATTGTTCATGATAGGTGGACCTCCATTATAGGGTTTGGGGTTTGGGGTTTGGGTTTAGGGTCCAGGGTGTAGGGGTTAGGGTCCAGTTTTCCATAGCTCAAGGGGCATTGGGCTCTCTTTGCTTGGGGCTTTTGTTCATCCTTGGGGTTGGTTCTTTTATAAGAGAAACCAGAACGAAAAAAACAAAAAAAAGGAAAAGGGTGTCACTGGGCTACGAAGAGGTGTTGTGTAGGGCTGCGCCCAGCCTAACATAAACTCCCAGCCTGCTGTCCGTGGAGGGATCGAGCTCGACACCTGGACACCGGATGCAGGGTTTAGGGCTTAGGGCTTAGGGCTTAGGGTTTAGGGTTTAGGGTTTAGGGTTTAGGGTTTAGGGTTTAGGGTTTAGGGTTTAGGGTTTAGGGCTTGGGATTTGGGGTTTGGGGTCTGGGGTTTGGGGTTAGGGTTTGGGGTTTAAGGTTTAGGGTTTAGGGTTTTGGGTTTATGGAAGAGGCTTTATAGGGCTTTGCTCGGAGATCGCATGCTGAGCACGTGCAGTCCACCCAGGACACCGGAACCGGAAGGTTTATAATTTGGGGTTTAGGGTTTAGGGTTTAGGGTCTAGGGTCTAGGGTCTAGGGTCTAGGGTTTCGGGTTTCGGGTTTCGGGCTTCGGGCTTCGGGTTTCGGAACCGGGAGGAACCGGAACCGGAACTGGGGGAGGAACCGGAACGGTAAAAACCTAGCGGACCCGGGATGACCGGACGATTCGGGATAAACCGGGAGGAGCATAGAGAAAACCGGAACCGGGGAAGCCAGAACAATCATTGGCAAACGTTCCCGGCCAGAGATGGGTTTCAACAATCCTTGCGGTGTAGCGTCTCCGGTTGAACCCTCAACGTTTCATGTGCTTCACAGGGGGGCTGGTTGAACCCTACATGCCACCAGAGAATACTTTGGGGGGTCATGGTACTGATTAACCAATTCTAACTGTACTTGTAACTGTGCTTATAGCCATATTAGGGCATTTAAGGGGCTTGTAAGTGGGTTAGAAGTACAGTTGTAATTGAGTATGTACCATGAACCTCCAAGTACATGCCACCAGAGAATAGTGAGAACGGGAAGTCGGGGGGCCCTGGAACATTTAGACTTTTATGGGCTGCACAGGCTTCTCTTCGGGCCCATAGAGCTTTCAACCTTGCATCCTCAGCCTAAACCCTAAACCCCAAACCCTAAACCCCAAACCCTAAACCCCAAACCCTAAACCCCAAACCCTAAACCCTAAACCCCAGGCATCCCGATTCGAGCTGCCAGGAAGGCTGCAAAGAGCAAGCCGAGCCCGTGCCCAAAGAAGGGCTCCCAGCCCTGTTCCGAAGGCTTGGGTTTTGCTTAGGGGTTAGGGTTTAGGGTTTAGGGTTTAGGGTTTGGGGTTTGGGGTTTGGGGTTTGGGGTTTGGGGTTTGGGGTTTGGGGTTTGGGGTTTAGGGTTTAGGGTTTAGGGTGCGGACTTGAGGGTTATGAGGGTTGCGGTTCCAGGGGCTGAGAGGAGCAGCAGGGGAAGGGAGGGGGTTTCGTGAAAATGTGAGTAGTTGTAGCGGCTGGGGCTGCATTCACAGGGTTTAGGATTTAGGGTTTAAGGGTTAAGGGTTAAGGGTTTAGGGTTTAGGGTTTAGGGTTTAGGGTTTAGGGTTTAGGGTTTAGGGTTTAGGGTTTAGGGTTTAGGGTTTAGGGATTTCATCTGGTCTATCACCAAACTCATGACATGCAATGCTGAAAAGGTACGCGGATGAAACCTACGAATAAACAATAAACAATCAAATACGTTCCACGTCTCGTCG